GCTAATTGAGGGGTTACCACTAATACGCCCATTATTCAAGTTCCGTGCTTTTTGACGATCGGGTCGATTATTCTAAACAAGAAACTTGGGTTAACAATATTCTTAATTAATCCTCCACGTTACATTTATTTCATTTCTATCCTACTGGGTCAGCCTTTAGCCTTGAACGTAAGACAACCCTCTAGATTACCCCCGCCCCAGTGGGGTTAATGCTAGGTTGACCTTTAGTCTTGAACATAAGACAACCCTCTAGATTGCCCCCGCCCTAACACTAACTTCGTAGCTCGCCCTCTAGACTTGAATGTACGAAACCCTCTAGATCTCGCACACGCTACCAAGCTTTCTCTCTCTATATATATATTTTTTTAACCAAGAAAAATACATTCACCTCTCTATATTTTAGAAGCAATTCCTTTGCTCGTTTACTCCTTTGCCCTTCTTCGTTATCGGCGATGACCTCAAGGGATCTAAGGTAAATACCTATTTTTTCACTTAAGTCATTTTTGTCATCATATTCTTCTAAAAAATCCTCTACATTTCACCTAGAGCAACTTCGATTAAAATATTCAGGTATCTATGTTTTATAAATCTGAAAGGTTAATGTTTGACCTGTAGTAAATTGGCTGTCATATTCGACTTACAATAAACTTGGGCATAGTTTTTTGAAAGAAAATATTCGCGTACGTTGTCTGATTACAAATCACGGCTTTATTATCCAGCTTTCAGAAAAATAAAAAGGGGCATGTTAAGCTTGTGACCCATCTTACAAATAAATTATGTATAACGTAAGGTGATACAGATGAATTTTGCATGACAAATTATTGTTATTTATTATAATTCTGATTTATTTTTTTTTGATTACTCGAGGGCATAATCAATTCCCTTAGAAAATTTTCACATTCACATTGCCTATATATCCCATCCGCTGCTTTTTTGCATGTTTTGCAATATAGGTGTGAATGATGATTGCATTCGTCACAAACCTTACACCCGTGCTTCCAACCTCTAAAGATATGCCACTTTTCGAAGTAATTTTGTTTGTTTTTATTTGTAAGTATACTATATTCTCTCATTTTTTACAAAGTAAAAGGAAAAAATATAATGTGGCTAATTTTTTTATTATATGTACAAACCTGTAATATGTGGTATCATATGCCTGTGCCCCGTCTCACAGATAAATTTTATGTGAACAAATTATGTACGTATGTACGTACAATGATAACAATAAATTTTGTTAATCATTATCGCTAATTCAGATTTATTTTTATTAATCATTTGAGAATTATTGTTAAAATATATATGTATATTTTTCACCCATAT